ACTAGTTGAAGCACATGCACAGTGAGAAGGTGGCAACAAGGTGGAGATCCTGAACATGAACTTGACAATGAGACCAGACTAGTGGAAGCACATTGACAATGAAGACGAGTTCAACAAAGTGATGAATCGGAACATGAACTTCACAAGGGAGAGGCTAGCCTAGTGGAAGCACATGCACAAAGGGAAGAGATCAACTAAACAAAGATCCGGAATATGAATTTGACAATGAGACTAGATTAGTGGAAAACACATGCTCAACGGAGAAGAGTTCAACAAAGTAAAAGATCCGGAACATGAACTTGACAATGAAGACTTAGACTAGTAGAAGCACATTGATTGATTGATTGATTGATTGATTGATTGATTGATTGATTGAACGATTGATTGATTGATTGATTGATTGATTGATTGGTTGGTGGGGGAGGGGTCGCCCCACCCCCGCGACCACGGGCGCGCACAGACACACACAAACACTTACACACACACACACACACACACACACACACATACACACACACACACATACACACATACACACACATGCATGCAGGTTTATCAGCGGCAGCTGGGCTGGGAATCGACAAAAATGAGACCGCGCACCGCAGGAGCAAGAACCCCCCCTTTTTTTCATCTACGTCGTTTTTTCCTTTTTTTTTTTTTTTTTTTTTTTTTTTTTTTTTTCTTTTTTTTTTTTTTTTTTTTTTTTTTTTTTTTTTCTTTTTTCTTTTTTTTTTTTTTCTTTTTTTTTTTCTTTTGCTTTTTTTCCCTTTTTCTTCTTTCTGCTTTTGTTCTTTTCCTTTTTTTTGTTCGTTTTGTCTCGCCTGTACGGGTGTGCTATAGCGCTCTGCGACCCCAGCTCCTCGTTCGATATCTGTTACTACGTTTGTATACTATGTTTTCCATGTAGATGTCTCGATGGAAGAGCATCCCCTGAAACCCCCCCGTGAGCTATTCCGGGGGCCACCCCCTGGCTTCATGATGCGACCCCTAGGGGGATTAAGGGTTGGCTGGAGGGCCGAGAGGGAACTCGGATCTCTTTTCCTGTTCCCCCTTGCAGGTTTTGCTTTTTTCGTTCCCCTGCTTTTTGCTTTTTTTTGTTTTTTTCTGCTCTTTTTCTTTCTTTTTTTCTTTTTTTCATTTTTCTCATTTTTCTCAACCGGTGGATGGATGCTTTAAACGGATGGATAGTAGAGGTGGCTTACATCGGAAGCGTACTATACGAGACTAGGTCGGGAGCTATAATAGGGCTGGGCATCGACGGGACTATTCATCGGTCCACCGTACTAGTATAGGCTCTGACAGCTGGTGAAGCGCGGTGTGACCTGGTTCTGTGGGAGCTTTGTCTGTCGGAGTATCGAGATGGACTTCTTCGCCGATTGGGACTAGGAGGAGGAACGGCGCGAGGAAGAGGAAGTGGTAACTCCGCTGGCGTGAGGCCTTTCTGTTTGAACTCCCTGACCTCGCTTGCGCCATGCATAGCACCGTGCCCTGCCTCGCGATGACCTCCTTTCCCTGCTACTGCGCTCTTTCGCATACGCAGAGCGCATACCTCAGTCTGCTGCTGCTTCTGCGGGTATCGGCGAGGGGCTTCGCGTCGCTTATCGCGAGCACTGTCTGTTATCTCTCCTTCTTTCTCACGGGTTGCTGTTGCCTATTTTTTTTGCTCGCTGCTGCCAATTGGAGGGACAACGTGGGCGGATAGTGCGCGAGGGATACCAATGGAGTCCAAGGCAGCGTCGGGGACGTCGTCGCACGTACTTTTAGCTTTTTTTTTTTTTTTGTCTTTTCTTTCCTTTCTCTATTTCATCTACTCCCTCCCCTCCCCCCCYCCGTATGGACCCTGTCCCCCCTGTCCCCCCTCCCCGACCATCACCCCCCTTCTCCATCCATCATTCCCTTATCATAACCCCCCTTCACGGTCGCCCTCCACCCCTCCGCCTTCCAAAGACCATGGAAGATGTCCTCCCTCTAATGACGCCCCAAATGGCATGGGGTAGAGAAGCGCTTTAGAGAATTGCCATGCCCTCCCTGCGTGTTCGGCGTGATGGCCCGTGCGGATGCAGGAGCACTTTGGGCCTGGAGGAGAGAGCTGAAGCAGGGTCTTCTTCTTCTTCATCTTCTTCCTCCTCATCTTCATCCTCCTCTCCTCTTCCCTTTTCCCACCCCGACACCATGCCCTTCTGTAAAACCTTTTTGTGCCTTTCCAGACCCCTGGCGATCGATGGACAGTGACATGTACGAATATTGTCAGCAGGGATAATAATGTTTTGATCTTTGGTAATCGAGTGTTTTCGAAGGGTTTACCGGTCATTTGGCATGAATGGGTCTCTTCATTGTCTCTCTACTCCCTCACTCTAAAATCGGTGGCATTTGTCGGACCAATTGATAATCCAGAATCTGTGCTCTGGTTCTATTCATGGCATCTGGTCTTATGGTTGCATCTTTATGACTGGGTTCCTTTCTTGATTGCGGTATTCCCAAGTTGATTGCATCCTTCTCGCTACTTTGTCTCATCACTCATACAAGTACCGAGATCTGCGCTTTATTTTTTTGGTACATCTTTGACTGCATGTGTGTTGTGCTTCGATTTTATCCCTGGAAGCAAGGGGCTTCTGCCACTCTCACCATGGCTTCGATGGGTTTTCCGGTCATTTGGGATGAATGGTTCGGCATGACTGAGTCTCTACGTTGTCTCTCTCTCCCCCTCCACTCTTAACTGGATGGCGCTTGTCAGACCAATGATTATTGAGAAACTGTGCTCTAATTCTGTTTGTGGCATCTGTTTTTTTGGTTGCATCTCTCGGACTAGGTTCCTTTCTTAATTGCAAGTATTACCGGGTTGATTGCATGATTGTTGCCTGTGTGTCCGAAATTGATTTAACACGGGGTCCTCGTCAAAAATTTGAACGCGCGTTCAATTCACGTTCAATCCCTGTTCAAATGCGCGTTAGGCGCGAATGAACAGGGTCCGCGAACCAATATTTCGCGCTCTCAGGGGGGGCAAAGGGGGTTTTCTGAAGGTGCGAGGAGGTAGTCTTTGTTGTCGGGTACCACCCCGTGCATTCATTTTTTTTTCTTTTTTCTCAAAGAAAAAAAAAAACCAGTGGGGCATCGGCCTGCGACGGCCTCCTGGAGTCTTGGGGGTTGGCGCAGGGGGAACGGGTCGAACACGTACTTAACACGCAAGCGCGTTCGGCCGCAGCTCATTTGTCGTACGAGCACTAACGGTCCAACGCGACAAACAGGTTGTCCGTCAGGTTGAAACACGCGCGCGCGCGCGTGCACGCACGCGTGTGCACGTGCACGCGCACGCGCGCGCGCGCGTGAGAGAGAGAGAGAGAGAGAGAGAGAGAGAGAGAGAGAGAGAGAGAGAGG